ATAATAATAATAATAATAATAATAATAATAACAACAATAATAATAATAATAAAGTGTGGGGTATCTTTGAACAGTTAAAAACAAAAACTGTAGGCTATTCATATTTAATCTGACTCCAACAATGTCTGTATCTCTCACTAAAAGACACGACTGCTCAAAATTATTTTGTGGCCACAAGTTTTTATATTGTGGCAATGCGTTATTTTTTATCTATTGTCACCTGATGGGCTCCGTAGTTTCCAGACTTTCTTGTATATTTTTTAACWTGGTCTTGATCAATCTCCCTAAGTTTTTTGTTTTTAAATATACTGACTTTTTTTTTCCTCTCATGTGTTGTCCAGTACTTGTGCCTGACAATAAATTGTGCTGTATGCGCTTTAAAAATAAGGATTATAGACAGAACAGGTAGTCACTGGTTCGTTTCTTGAAGTCTGGAGCATTTTTATGCTTGAATGATTGAAAGATCAAACAAAACATTTCAAAAATGGTCAGGTACTGAACAGAAGAGGAAAAGTGATCCTTTGGTCGTAATCGGTTCAGAATGTCTTGCTACCAACAATATTAGAATTGAAGGGTGACTCATGAGTTTTGCACAATACTGCGTTTTGTTTGTGTCATGAAAACGTTAGCGTGACGCTCGTGTTACCTCAGGTTGGAAAAGTCAAAACAGATGTCTTTCATCAGATTCATATGARCTTTACTTGGATATGAATTCCAACTCCATGTTGGTATTCTGCAGTAAGTTTAAAACTTTTCAGGATTTGTAAAATAAACAAACATCCAGTGTGTCTTTGAGTGTGGTGAAAGCCTTTTAAAAACTGTAAAAAGCTGCCATTTTTAAAACAAGGTTACCTGTGCGAAGTCGAACACAAGTGTCCAGTAAGTAGACAGTGTCAGACAGGTAGTCCAGCACCAGCCAGCAGATGTAATTATCCAGCTGTAACTGGTCAAAACATGACCTAAGAACGTAAAGAAGAAGAAGAAGAAGAAGAAAAAAAACAAGGTTTAATGCTTCCATTAAACATCTCTGCAGAGCATCAGAAACAAGTCAAACTTTGGGATCGGGATTACCTCGCAACAACGATGAACCAGTTGTAGAGCACCGCCATGGCAATGACAAATAACCAGCGGTAGTACATGTCATCAGACGGAGACACCACAAACAAATCCCACTTTTTCCTGAAAACAGAAATCAAAAWGAAGCTCATTTAAACAYGGAGCACCAGGAATACAATAAAATAAACTCTGTTATGGACACTGCTATTTCTTTGAGCAGGGTTTGTGAACCTCTACATGATACTGTACAAACAGTTCACCCTTTATTTTGTTGTATTGCTTCCAAGCAGCCAGACTTTCTTGTSGTCTTTAGGCTTTTCAAAGATCTCTCCTAGATTTTCTTTGGATTTTAGCWGCATTTTGACACGAAGAGACAACTCGTTCTCATCTCTTTTGCTGACTGGATTGAGAATACCAAAGGCGGCAGAGTTTAACACATAAAACTGTATCTCAGCTCAGACGAGGGCAACCTCAAACAGCAGGTRGCTGAAAACTTTAACCACCTGAAGGACTTTGCATATCTGCTGTAGATAGGTTTCAGCAGGTCTGACTCTAAAGTTAAGAGAAAAACTTCTGAATGAGACTAAGAAAATACGAGAAAWGTCTGGCTTCTTGAGAGCAAAGTATGAAGAAATTTGAGGTTATTTAGCACAGTAMTCTAGTGTTGGTAAGCTAACAAACGTGACAATAAATACCTAAAGATCCCCTTGGCATTGTTGCCGTTGACATCTGGTTGGGTGTTGCTGTTGCGACTCGGGGCYGTTCTCAGTTCAGGGCCACGAAAGCGTTCCAGGAAGGAGTCAGGTCTCTCCTCCTCCTCCATCAGACTCCTGTGAGCCCATTCCCTCAGCCTCACCACCAGGTTCACCATTCTGACTCACACAAGAGAAGAAGAAGAAAAGCCTTTAGAATCAGAGTTAGAATAAATCACTGGCAGAGATGTGCGACAAAGCATTTGTCGGGGTCACTTCGTGCACAGGTGGAGGGAGGCATGCATTCAGTTGCTGGGTTGTTCACCTTGAGATAGCTCCAATCCTTTGGAGAGAGTTTCTTGAATTACGTCCATTTGGATCGAGATCTGCAATCCTCTGCAGCTCCGAGGACGTGTCATCACAGAGGGATGGGACCCTGGGTTGAAAAGTTCAAAACCCCCCTCAGCATCTTGATTCATCTTTTTTTTTTAAAGGATCATATTTCTAAAGGAAACTGATTACCTGCTCAGAGCCACCTCCGCTCTCTCGGTCTCCTCCTCCAGGGTGGTCTTCACCGACAGGCTGTTGGGGGACCGGTCTCTCTTCGCCACCTGGCCCGTCATCCTCGGGTCTGAGTGCATGAGCAAGCAGAGAGAATAAAGTCCAACTCGTTCTCCATTTAACCCAAGCTGCTGCTGGGAGAGTTTGGCGTGCTCTTTCTGCAGTGACAGAACCGTGTTTGTGGTTCATGTGTCAGTTCATAGTCAGGGGACGGGAGGAGGACTGGGACGGTCTTTCACGGTCCCTAACCATCAGACATTACCAGTGGCTGCTGGTTGCTTTGGCGACAGAAGCAGCTACGGAGCACGCTCAGAGCAATTCACAAAACAGCTCCAGACGACTAAAAATGAAAAGAAAAATAACCAAAAATGGGTGTTTTTATTTATTTTTCTTCTCATTTTATTTGGTTAAACGTGTTGAACTCTTTTTATTTGTGCATCAAAAGGCAACAAAGTAGTGAACTGCTCAGTTTTAAATTCTTTGCTAAATTCGTGCAACTTCTGTCTGTATTTTATTAAATGAAGAATATTATGTGTTTAGCTGACTCTATAACTGATTGACTTTTGGAGTTTTAAAGATACTGAGCTAAAATTTGTTGTAACTGAGAGTCATCCCCAGCATGTCCTCTGAGAGCTAACAGATCTTCAGTGATTTGTTATTGTTGTAAACAATGCTCTGTTTAAAACTGTGGCAGAAGAGGCGAGTAGTGTGCATTCCTTCAAGAAATGTTAGTTTAATCTTCTAAAAGAGACTTACAGGGCCCAGTTTCTGATTAAACATCTTGACCTTCAATGAGCAGCTTTTTAAAAAGTTGGTTCTCCCTATCAAATTCAGAATTTAAAATCTGATTTCTAACATACAAAGCTCTCAAATACCAAGCTCCATATAAAGATCTTATTGTTCCATATTTTCCTAACAGAGCAGGTTTACTTGTGGTTCCTTGAGTTTCTAAAAGTAGAATGGGARGCAGAGCTTTCAGTTATCAAGCTCCTCTCTTGTGGAACCGACTTCCAGTTTCTGCCTGTGAGGCTTTAAAACTAGACTTAAAGTGCCTGCGACATCAAATGTTGGTTATAAGTGTTTTGCATAATTTGAAAGATAACATCGATAAAATATTKCAAAAACAAATTTCATGCTGCTGAGATAAACAGATGCTAAGATACTGGCATGTGAAGTAACAGGAAGTGATGTCAATGGGGAATGTCTGAACGTGAACAGAGGATTGCTACAACAGCTACCAACATATCTGATGCTTCTTTAGATTATTTTGAGCCATGATTAGAGAGAGATGAAGAAAAGTCAGAGTTGAAATAATATTGTTTCAATGAACAAAGAGTTCTCCTTTGACATCACTTCCTGTTTAACTTTGGCTAAGCCCAGTTTAAAAAAAATGTCATTTATGTGACAAGATGGGTAAAATTATGTGCATTAATGCCAAGTTTCTTAAAAATAAAGATGTTTTCTTTGAATTTTTGTATTTGAAGATGCATGTCACAGGCACTTTAAGACTTTCCTTTCTGATAAATTATATACAAYGTATTTTAGTAAACTTTTTAAAGCCAAACTGACTTGTCTTTTCAGCGTGTTAGCAGATTTATCAATGGTTCATGAAGCGTTTTGAAAACAGATATTTTCAAAAACTTCCATAAAGGTTATCTGTCTGAGCCAGCATCTCCTAAAGTGATTTTACGTTTTCTGAATTAAAAAAAAAAAAAAAGCCAGAGTGGTTATTCCACTCTTCCATCCTGCACAGACAGATGATGAGGTGTTTAGACAACTGTTACCCCTGTGTGACTAATTGGCGGCTCATTAATGACAACACGGCAGCCTGCAGCGCTCCGGCTCAGCGAGCCAATCAGCAGCTCTCCCTCAGGAGCCGCATCACTTAGGAAACCAGCGTGCACCTCGTGTGTCATTACATCACAAGAGCCGCTGAGTGCAAAGGAACAAAGTCACCCGTCTCCCTGACTCAGCTTTAAACACATAATTGTCAACTTCTGCTAATTAAACCCTTTGTAGTAAACATGATCTCTATTCATGTGGAAATAAATATAAACACATCAAATAAAAGGATCTTATGCAACACATCATTTTTACTAGTGCAAGAAATTTTCTATCAAGACACAAATAATGTAGAAGTCAGGCACGACCTGCTTGGCATTAAAAGGGCAAAACATGTTTACACTTTATTCTTACCTTTAAAGTTGTTAAAATCTCAATCACTCCAGAAAAATCCTTAAGGTGATTTCACACAGCAACACCCACAGAAGGGCTGGTTCTGCCCCGTCCATCCTCAGCTCTCATCTTCAGCTCAAACGGACCCCTAAAACACAATTACAAGTGTGACAGGGCAACATACTCTGTGSTCCTGGAAGTGTGTTCCTCATTCAGAAGTATGTGAGCACATGGCCCACCACATCCCCAGATGAGTGCATGTAGGAGGCAGGTAGGTTGGGAGACAAGGAGGCGGAGTGTTCTTTCAATTAGAATAAGAAAATGTCCAGACAGCAGCTTTTCTCTGCAGGTCTCGACAGGATAGGTTGGTTCAGACGTGTTTGGAGTTCTGATCAGTTAMTATCTTACCTGTTGTAGATGTAGTTCTTTTGGAAAACTGAAGCTTAAGGTTTTGTGTACAAAACTGCAGATATTTGTTGAAACAGATGAGGTTGTCTTTTCAATATTCTAATGAAAGTGAAATACYCATGTTGCACCACTAGATGGTGAGAACGTCCAAATTAACAACCTATTAAAAAACAAAGGAAGGACATTCTTAGATTGGTTAAAACATCTTATTTTCAATACATTTTATGGTTTGCTGTTAAAACATTTTAACACATTTAAAAAGGTTGCCAGCAACTGGATCAGGAAACAAAAAGCTCCWTTGTTGTTTGTTTCTAGGATCCAAAGTTATGGTGGGAAAGTCACTTGTTCAGAAAGTTTCAAAAATCTCCACTTTTGAAACGCAATTGTACGGAGCCCTGAAGGATGTTGTGTTACCTCGCAAAAGTTGTTCATTGCAGCTGTGCCTGCCGATTTATTAATAAATTCCCATAAACATCATTATACTCGTTACTAATTTAATTCAGCTTCCACAGTTACAAAATATCACCGTCAACTTCCCTAACACGTGGTTTCGGTGAATGGGTATTTCAAAATAAAAGTCTCATTCTTTAGAGTTAATAAAAAAACATTAAATTACTTTGGAAACCCAAAAGAAAAAAAAAAATCCCTCATGTCCCTTTAGGGATTCCGTACACATAAATCTTGGAGTGACATCATGCAACTTAGAAAACCAGCAGAAGTTGCTAATCTAATAAATACTGAGCTTATAAAAGAGTAAATAAAAGCCTCCTCCTCATCCGACTGAAACACCTTCATTTTTAATAATAACGTCAATAATAAATGTGGATATTTTTGCTGGAACCGACGCCCAGAGGAGCTCACAGGTAACTAAAGACTCAGACCAGCGAACGGGAAACTACAATCTGCCGCTGGTGTCTCCTGTTAATAAAACCCATCAGCCAACTGTGAAGAAAATCATGTCTGTTAATAAGAGATGCCACAGGTTCTGMTTTACAGCAGGATTTATGATGAACAGGTGCAACAGAAAGCTAGATAAAAGAAAGGAGAAGTGGTAAAAGTTAAAGAGCTGGGTTGTGAGGTTTAAACTTTGAACATGCAGATGAGTTTGAGATAATTAACATTTCTTTGTAAAAATGCACAAATAGATTAAATATATCTGCCTATGAAATCTTAAGACATTATATGCTACAGTACTGATTACTGCAGCAGGTCTGGATTTTTCAAGCTGAATAGATTTGTATTAAAATCTTTTTATAAAATCTGTAAGTTAAACTAGATTGTTAAGAAATATTTTGTCTTGTTAAATTGTTAAATGAAAGATTGCTGAGTTTTTTTTCCTACTTTAAAATGTATTTTTGTCAATTCGAAAAGTTTGACAAAATCAAACATTTATTTTTCCACATAAAACAAAACCTTCAGTCTTTTAGTTATTTGCAGGTTTGTGGATTTAGTCCAATGGTGTGGCGGTATTAAATGTTTTGATTGTAGCTTTTTAATTTGTTGAAACATTGATTTTATTTAAAGGGGAACAAAATAAACCCAAACGTGAGCCGTTTTCAAATTCGTATTTTATTGTTACATGTAAAGCACTTACTTGTAAGAGTAGACATGAACGAGAGACCAAACTCAATTTGGTCAAAGTCAAAGATTATCATGAAGTTACGGTTTGTTTTCGGTAATATGACAGAAGGCAAAAAAAAAAAAAAAAGGAAAATAATCTTAAAGCGCAAGTCGTCTTTGAGACCACAGCCTAAAGAGTCAGCCTGCTCCTCATCCAATGTACAGACACAAACAAAAATAATAATAATTATCCCAACACAACACAGACCGGAAACCCTCAGACAGCATTTACAGAATATTGCATAATAATCCCAAGAAACACAACGAGAATACGAACAGCACATCATCGGAAACTGACCTCATTATGGCTTCAGGATACAGAGACGTTCACGGAGCCACTTAYTGAGATGTGCTCGCACTTCAGTAAATAAGACAACATAATTTTTTATTTTTACGTGTGCTCCTTAAAACATCCAGCTCCCCTGAATGACTTTGTGTTTGGCCTTCTGATGCATATATTCAGGATTAAGTGAAGAATTCAAGAATGTCTGGCGCTTCAACAAGGTCATAATTTATCAGTCTGGGTGAAAATATGTAAACGAACTTGAAGCTGTGAATTATGTGTACTCAGTCCGGAAAAAAAAAAAAAACATCGTTTCACACGAGGAGTAGTGCATCTTGAGAGTAACGGCTTGACGAGAGCCATCTCTAGAGATGATAGTAACGCAGCCTCACCTCCAATGAGAGAATACATGGTTCTTCAGAAATAACTTCTGTAAGGCGAAAGAGGCGGGGCTACATGCAGATGCGGATTATGACTCGTTTAAGACTTTAACTTCATTTCTGTAGTTTTGTGGGGAGCTCTTTCAAAAGGCTAACTGTTTAGGGTCACCGTTCTCTCAGCTGGCCTGTTTAGACGCGCTTCATCCCCCGACCCATCAAGCAGGCAAAGACCGTCATCACCATCTTGGGTTTGACCTCCACAAGATCCTCCGGGAGGGCATAGACACGGGCGCCGATCTTTCTCGCCATAGAGATGGCGTATCTGGACGAGATTAAAATGTAACYATTAGAAAGCGTTTGATCAAACAGCCAAAGTAACAGCTTCTCTTGTTGTCATCCGGTTCTTACTTGGCGTTGTCCAGTTTGTCGTCTTCAGAGAGGCTGCCGGTTTTCACCAGCTCAAAGTTGACGCTGCCGGGCTGGATGGCGTCGATCAGTTCCAGTACCGCCAGGCTGCTGCTGATCTCCTTATCCTGACCAACACACACACAAACACAGGATCAGACCCGACCACAGGACCTCCATCACAGGCCACGCTCACACTGCAGGTCTAAAGGCTCAGCTAGGATTTTTTATTTATTTAGTTTTTTGCATGGTTGTTTACATTCTACTGTAAATTCTATCAGACTACAGATATACAGAAAATATTAACGAACTGGTCCCATAATGTTAGTGTCGATACAATCCAACACGTTGGTAGAGGAACTGTTGTATGAGAAGTCTAAAAGATTTTTAAAAAAGGAAAAGCAACTAGACGTCTGTTCTGTAGCTCAATACATGTGGAGCTTCAAGCTTGAAAATTGGTATCRATAATATCCAGCATTATCCTAAAACGAGTCATTTTATTTTTTCTTTTAAATATTTGTGTTTTAGGAAAAAACTTGGTTTACCTTAAAACTCTGAATCTTGGTGGATTTTCCAGCCTCCACCAAGGTTTGGTTCACCCAYTTCACAATGATGTCGTCGTTTGCCTTCGCTCCGTCACCCAGATCCTCCAGAACATTCAACGTGTATCTAAAGGCGCAACAAGGCAGCGGCGTTATCATCGTGAGCCTGAATTCAATTCAGTTMAATTCAGTTTATGGGCCTCTCTTCAGTTCAGAAGAGAGGCCCAAAACATTTGACTAAATAGAAAAAATAACAAATCTGAGCCAAGGTTTAAAACAAACAAATGTTAAGGCTGTTCATCCCACAAAACAGAAAGCTAGATAACTAAATATAAACATACTTAACAGCTACACTTTAGAAACCTAGTCTTAAAAAAATGCATAATTAAACATAATGTTCTTTGAAACMCATAATACAATACATACAGTACACCATTAACAAAATAAAAGCAATAAGGTTCATTAAATGCCGTTTATCAAAATAAATTGAAAAACTATCCACAGAAATCCATTCACATGAAAGTGGATTTCTGTGGATAGTATATATATATATATATATATATATATATATATAAAAATAATCTAATTTTCATATTTCAAGCTACTTTGTTTATTTTCTTTCCTTTTTAATAGAAAAAAATAACTTTTGCACTGGGTATGTTAGGTGAAACAGTCTGAACTGCTTTGTATTAAATAAAACTGAATAACTCTTGAAATAATTTGACAATAAAAATCGTATTAAAAAAATCTGTCAGGAATATTTAAATTCATTGCAGGTGCTTGATATGCCCCAGGCTCACACAGGTGAGGGAACAYGTTTCAGTGGGTGGAGCCTAAACACTCAGGAGGTTTTAATGCCTAATATAGTCACACCTGAGCAGTTCACGCYGTCCCATTTGTATTTGGTGATTTGAATTTTGACAATTTCAACAGATGATATATGAAGCTGCAATCATGACCCAAGATTTATCTTTTAATTTTTTTGTGGGTTTTAAGCGGTTGTATAATTCTGAACAGATATTTAATAATTAAATTAAAAATACAAATTTATATACTAGATTTAAAAAGCTTTACAGAAAACTATTACTGGAGTTTAAATGAGTGCACAGCTATTTATCTTTCTCTCTTTTATTTCTAGAACAATAAAAATTCAGAATATTAAAAAAAAAATCCAGAAAAAACTAATGTGATTAAATGTTTTTACCGCCTCATGAGCTGCCACACCACAGCCAGAGTCAGGGTCGGATTTCCATCGTTCAGGTCCTGCCCGCCGATCCCAACCAGGGAGAACTTGGTTGCTTTGCCCAGGTCCACTGCGTAGTTACAATTCTCCAACTATGGAGGAAAAATGACACAAACATCAGCATAAAATGAAAATAAGAATGTTTGTGGTGTTGTTAGCGAGGATCTACCTTTTTCATGTTGGTTCCCAGTTTGGGGTAGGGAGGCTTGTTCACTTTGCTCCAGTCAACCGGGACTTTAATCTTCTCGTAGAGTTGAAGGATGACCATGGCGTCTTGTAGGTCTCTATAAGAGCAGTAAACATTAGTTAAGACACAGAACACTCTGTAGATTAAAACATGTTTTTTAGTCCTGGTGATACATACACATAAAGATGATTTACAGTAGGGTTTACTCCCAGCGAGTTCATCCAGTTTCTAAATGTTCTTTCTTCTCGTGTCTCACCTGATCAGCAGAGAAATATAAGATTTAGACAGTTTCAGTAGGAATACTGGACATATTTCAGGAATAGTTCAGAATAATCTACCGGGTGAGTCAAAAGTCACAGGACAGCCTTTTAATTCAGAAACAAACAGGGAAATGACCTATTTGAATACCCCAGCAAGTAATGCGTGGGGTGTGTGTGTGTGTGTGTCTACCTTTAAACCCAATATGGCGGCTATGTTCTGGCCATAGCCTAAAACATGGACCCCCCATCACTTGCTGGAGTATTCAGACATTTCATTTTCCTTTTTTCTTTCTGAAAACGAAAGTGTCCTGTGACTTTTGACTCACCCTGTACATGCTCAATACAGCAGCCAGTCATAAAATTCTAATTTTATTTTATTCTTAAAAAAACAAATAAATCCATAAGAAATATTGTAAACTCAAACCTGCTTCCGCTGGAATCACGTGTTAAAGCAAGATTAGATGAAATAAACCAAGTTTTTCCATACACACCCTCCAACAATCCCCAGTCGATGTCTTGGTTCTCAGGTTTCTTCAGTGCTGGATATTTGTTGAACAGGTTGGCGACAAAGGCGAGGTTGAGTTTGGGGTTTCCACTGACGACGTCCGTCGGCGTGACAAACTGTCGACAGCCGAGTCGGTCGGCCTGCTGCAGCATAGCTTCGGCCCTCTTTATGTCGTCTTTCTCCTGCACACACACAAACGCTGGGGTGAGAGGTGCAGCTGTTACCGTGTGGAGAGGATGCTCAGCTGCGAGCGCTGAAGGTGCTTACGCTGAAGCCTGACATGTTGATGTCGATGCGTGGATGATTGTCTTCGTCTCCTTTTGGAGCGATTTGATTCAGGAGGTGGAAATAGGCCCTGGAGTCCTAAAAAAATTTATACATAAAAAAGGCAATTTAGCCAGTAAATCATGTTTGAGTTGTTTTTCTTAAAAGGGGAAAAATCAAGTGTACAGGTATGCATTTTTTGTGTATTTTCCCCCTTTTTCTCCAAAGCCTCTATATCAAGATGACATCCTCTGTACTTCCTAGATGAAAACATGTCAAAGGGATCTCAGACTACAGCCACATGTTGGCCTTAACATGTTATTTCTCTGTTCTAATAAAAGTTGCTGTTTGTGACACATGAAAACATCTAATTACTTTTTTAAAATTAGATGCTTATTACAGTTTTCACTTAAGAACATCACCATTTTGTTACTGACGCAATGAATTCTGGGTAAAATAATAGGTTACATTTGAGACTAAAACTTGAGTCAAGGCTAAATAATACCATTAATATTAAATGATTTGAAGACACAAACTGTCCTGCAGGAAGCTTATTAAACCTTTACAACTGGTTGATCAGTTTTGCTGTGTTGTTTAAACACCAGATCTGGATCCTACTTCAGGGAAAAGACTCACTTTAATGTCCGAGCTGAAGTTATTGATCTTCTGCCAGCCGGCGTTTTCCAGGTGGTAGTTGGCCCAGCGCAGCAGCAGCTCCTCTGGCGACAGCTTCATCAGGTCCTCTAAGGTTTCTCCATCCTTCAGCAAGGCCGCCAACGCTGTCGGGGAGAGGTAATGATCAGGTAATCTGCTCAGGCAGCCCTTTTCATAGGACTTAAACACATGCTGCGTAATAACAACCTCGCCCCGTACCTTCGTTTCTGCTGAGCTCGATGTCGGCAAACAGGCCGATCTTGATGATCTGCCACAGCAGGCCCAGCACCAGATGGGGCTTCCCTTCTTTCAGGTCTAGTGCACCGATGTTCACCACGTGGCAGCCGATGGCAGACGCAGAGTTAAGAGCCAAGTTCAGGTTCTCCTAAAAAAAGAGACAAACAATCAGAAATTAGAATTATTCATAAACACAAAGAACCTTTAAAAGAGTAAAACTGACCTGTGTTGTAAACGGTGTCAGCTTCTTCTTGTTGATTGTTCTCTCGTCAATAGTGTCTGGAACTGACAGGTTGATCATTTTGCTGTTTGAAGACAAAAATAAAYGTCAATATTTTAGACCATATGTTCATATAAATTAGTTTTAAAAAACAAAATGGCTAATAAAACACACAAGATCTCTTATTTCTGATGCATCAGGGGATCAAAAAATCATCATCCTGCAATACTAAAAACTTCCTATTAAACACYGTTTTCATTTTATGGTTGTAAAGGTCAACAAAAAAATTCCATAGGTCTGAATCACATGTCAAACTCAAGGCCAATGGGCCAAATCTGGCCCTTGTTATTTATCCGGCCCCCAAAGTAAATATTTAAATGTGAAATAGTTTTATGTTTATTTATTTTTGTCTGTCTTTAGTGCATACTTCTTATGATAACTCACCAACTTTCAGGCAAAACAATTTTGAAAAAAGGTGATTTTTGA